TTGCTGAAGCAACGAGCACATGCTGGTATGTCCTTACTTTCATTTGATGGAATTTGGACGCTAAACTTAAATATATTCCATCTGGAGGACATCATATCATTCTCACGCTCGTCACGACTATTATATTTCCCCCAAAACTCAATCGGCCCCTTACTGGTAGCGAATATTGGGATGGTGTTTTCTCGTGGAATACACAAATCAGTGGCAAACATATTCTTTGGCCTTGGAAGATGAACTGTCTGCCCTTCCAGTAGCAACAAAAAGTCACTCCACTCGATCAATTCTGGTGACCATCGAAAATCATTCAAGTATGCGACCTCACATTCCTCTAATCCAACCCAAGCATACTTTCCCGTAGCAGGATTTATGAACGTTTTGTATATTAACTCCAGAGGATTGAGAAGAAATGACTTTCCGCAATTCGTGGGACCAATGAGCAAAACGTTCAAGCGCTTCTGTCTTCCCCTCTCAAGAAGCTGACGCAAGGCTGAAGCAAAGTAATATAAATTAATTCCATTTTGATGTAGGACTTGTTTTGCACACACCAACCACTCTCCGTTGCACAAAGGTAAACATTCGCTTTCGAGATGGGCTCTAAGGATTGATATTCTTGATTCTTTCGCTCTTTGGACATTTTTGGAAGCGTCATTCATTTTCCAAGTCATGTCCAAGAGTTCTGATAGAGACTTTGAAGATTTGTTTATGATAAATTTGTACAAATCCTTTTCGCCCTCAGAATGACGAGTTTTTGCAACGACCATTAACTCACTATCGCTTCTAATATCATTTGCGACAATAAATTCAGAAACATCGATGTTGGATAACTTCTTGGGTTTCGAAGAACTTGGTAGGTTTTCCTTAATTTTCTCATTGTTAGTTGGTGCTGAGATTCTCCTTTTCTTCGCGTTATCAGAAAACTGTGTGAAAGCACGTTTGGTTTTTGGTGAGCCAATTTCTTGTAAATTTGGGTGGCCAAGGCTGTGTAATACGTCGGTGAATGACTTGTTCTTGCAGACGTATTTGTAGGCGACATGGTAACCACATGATTGGTCGGAAAAATGCAAGGCAATTCCATGCTTTTTGCTTACATAATTTTTCACGGCTTTCCACCGCCTTGGTGCACTTAGTTTGATAGCCAAGTGGTAATGCTTTCCCCCATCTCTATGTTCCTCCATGCAGCATGACCAGTGTTCTGGATGGTTCGTATTATCCTTTTGATTTCCTTGTGATTGTGAAAATGCCTCAAGAATACAATCAGCAAACGCCTGGCAATTTGCTATTTTCCCCAAATCTGCCTGGGAATAAGTGATCAGATAAACACGACGAGTTTGTCTTTCACCGAGCGCCTGACCAAAATCGCTTTCGACAGCGTTATTTTCCATGGTAAACACACTTGAATGACTTGACAAGGTAAAGATAAATAAAGAGAAAAGCGATCAGCTTCAGAATTTCGCGCCTTTCGATTTTTGGACCCAGGCTTAAATCGCGCAGTACCGGAAGTTGTCAATTTCAAAACAAATAAATCTACCTCTGTATTATAGTTTGTAGTATTTTTACTATACGGAGCATTTTAATACACGGCTTGTAGGAAGTTTACATCCTGAAAATTATCCTGTTGTTGTGATTATAAGAGACTATAAAAACGAAATCATAATATGAAGGTATGTTTTGCATTTAATATTTTATGTCAAACAAGAAGAATGGCGAACAATATAATGATGTTGGTTAGACGTTTTATACTATCTTGCATCTACATAATTTATAAATGTTTAATACAATCAAACGATACGTTCGAATGCTAAATAGTATATTTTATAAACCTCATCGTTCATGACCGACGACAACACCTTGGAATATGTACAGCAAAACCTCCATAAAAAAATTAAATAATCTATTATTCGCGTCCAAATTTTTATTTAAATACAGTGCGGAATTACAATTGTTTATTTCTTGCGTCATAATACTTAATCTTTTAACCGCACATCAACATACCGCATGCACGAGTGTCATCGGTGGAATTGTTTGAACATTTTCAGACGTCGCTGGCTAATAAGAAAAAATACAATCTTGGACAAAATATTTTGGCAAGACTTATTTAATCTTATTCTTTCTTGTTGTGTTGTCTTATTTTCCGTCATATAGGCAGATGTCTACTTTATATCAAATCTTAGGCACTCTCGTCCCTCCCCCTATATCAATGTTGCTATTTTCGGTTAAATCTTCAGGGAAAAACAGGTGTATTGGCGCAAACAACATTGATATTGGGGGAAGGGAAATAGAATGACATTTTTGCCATATATTTTGTCCAGGATTGTAGATAACCACGGGTAACTAGATAACCAGGGATAACTGGATAACCAGGGATAACTAGATAACCTGGGATAACTGGATAACCAAGGATAACTAGATAACCAAGGAAAACTGGATAACCAGGGGTAACTGGATTACCAAAGATATGGATATATGGGGATGCCATATTAATGACATCATTCATGCACATATTGGTGCGCGTAACACAACGATATAACCACAATTCATTTCTGATAATAGTAAGTGTTTTAGGACATCCGAAGGGGGTTATTGGAATTTCCAAGTAAAAAATAACTTAAAGCTATGATAGGTTCTATTTTTCTTTGTGTTTCCTTTTCTTGCCTTTTGATTTTTTACATGATGGCCAATACCAGCATCCCTTTGGAGGTCTTTTAACACCAACACATTTGTAATGAAACCACTCCCCTTTGCAGTTTTTAGAGTCACATCCAATCCAAGTCTCACTGCTGTACGTGTACTCTGAAATGCAAACACAATAATGTTTTCGTGTCGGAACTGGCAGTTCATCTTTATTCTCCAGCCTTCTTATCAATAATTCTGCAATGATATATCTTTTGAAGAATTGTTCTATAACTGGAATTGAATTTTTAATAAATTCTCCATTATATGACACAATTTCTCTATGCATCCACTGTGGAGTCCAAACAATAAATTCACATTCTTGCAAATCAAAAACAAACAACTGGATTTGTATTTGAATATAGTACTTGTGTCCTTGCTTCAGATTCAGTTCACAATCAAGACAAAATGACTTGTCATTAGCAGCTTCTTTTACTGACAAACATGTACCGTTTTGAGTATGGACATTTTACTTCTATCAGCCATTTGATTTCATGACACTGACATATAAATATCGCATCTGGAGATGCACCAATATATGGATGTTTGGGATGAAGCTGTATTCCTGAGAAACTAATTGAAAAGTTGGAGTGATTTTCCTCATGCCTTACATGAGCATCATGTAGAGCTTTCTTTTCATTTTCTATTCCCCACTTTAAGGAGGGAACAGTTGTGTGACAAACAATTGATTTCTTGCAGATTTTTTTTATCAGAGATTCAGCAGGTTTCTACATGTTTGTGTGAAGAACATCATGGGCAGTTGAAGCAGTGACTCTCCCAGAACGTACATCATGCCATACCGGTGACTCTGACTGTTTACATGTTATTTTTTGTACATAGTTGTTCATTTCATCTGATACTGTTAATGATTCCAAAAGTTTGTTAGATATGGCAGATGGTTCTTCATGTGTCTTTTCTTTGTATTCAGGTGAATACCAGTCCCGTAAAGACTCAGGAAGTTTTGTTCTTGCTGGTAGCTTGTACATGGGAATGTAACTTTCATGATATTTAGAATATATGCATGCAATACAATTGTACAATTGGTTTATTTTCCTTTTGTTGTGATAAATTTTGAAGGGAGGAATCTATGATAAACCAACCTGTGTCCACAGGGACTCTGCCACGCTAATTGATAACATTTTCATTAATATTCCGGATAAAATATTAACGAGCGGTAATGTCGTATCGGACGTAAGTGATCATTTTTCTCAATTCTGTATTATAGATTTAATTTCAGCTAAGAACAACGTAACAAAATTTAAAATTAGACACTACTCTCGTTATTCGGAGACTTTATTCCTTCAAGATCTGTCACAAATAGATTGGAATTCCATAATAGCTAACCATGGACATGATCCTGATAAACTGTTTTCGACCTTTTATAACCAGGTTAACAAATTTGTAAACAAACATGCACCTCTCAAAATGATTTCCAAATGAATGGCTAAGTCTTTCACGAAACCTTGGATATCCAAAGGCTTAAGAGTATCAATTAAAATTAAAAATGCATTATTTTACTCAAACCCTTTAAGATATAAAATTTATAGGAACTCGATTGTAACCTTAACACGAGCAAGCAAGAGACTGTATTACCATACATACTTTAGTTCAAATCTAAACAATATGAAAAAGACCTGGGATGGAATAAGGGATTTAATTGGAGGTGGCAAAAAACGTAAAAAGGAAATTAATGCGATGGCACAATGTGCCAACAGCCAATTAATTCACGATCCCCAAAAAATATCTAAGATTTTGAATAATCATTTTGCTTCTTGTGGTCATCGTTTAGCAGCTAAGATGCCTCATTCAGAAAAACATTTCTCTGAATATCTCCCAAAACAGAATACCGATTACGAAAATATAGCCTCTCAGCATGGCTCATTTGCATTCTTTCCAGTAACTCCATCCGAGATAGAACTTGAAATTACCTTATTACCAATTAATAAGTCGTATGGCTTATATTCCTGCCCTACACGTATCTTAAAATGCGCAAAAAATATTCTAAGCAAACCTCTAGCTGACATTATTAATACTTCTATTGAGCGAGGAATCTACCCCAAAAAATTAAAAATTGCAAAAATTATTCCAATTTACAAAGATGGTGTAGATACCAATCCAAACAATTACTGCCCTATATCACTTTTATCTATTTTTAATAACATTTTCGAAGTCTTAATGAACTCGCGATTGAAAAACTTTCTTAAGTTAAGAAATTTTTTTAGTGATTCTCAATATGGTTTTCGCGAACAACATTCTACACAACATGCTCTTCTTGATATTATCAATAAAATCCAAAGTAACATGGATAATAAACTTTTCTCTTGTGGAATATTTATCGACTTAAAAAAAGCGTTTGATACTGCCGACCACGACATTCTGTTATGCAAATTAAAGTACTATGGTATAAGAGGTGTTGTCAATGATTGGTTTTCCTCTTACCTAAAAAACCGCTCGCAAACTACTCTTGTAGGAAATTGTATATCTGATAAAGAGGAGACCCTATGTGGAGTACCTCAGGGTTCTGTTCTTGGACCTCTTCTTTTTCTGATTTACATAAATGATATTTGTAATTCATCTAAGGTATTTAATTTCTTTCTCTTTGCGGACGATACCAACCTATTATATGCTAACAAAAGTTTAAAAACTTTAGAATCAGTGGTAAATTTCGAGTTGAGGGAAGTTTGTAAGTGGCTAAATGCTAATAAACTAACATTAAATATTAAAAAATCAAATTTTGTAATCTTTCGACCATCGCAAAAACCAATGACATATCAGCCTACTATTAAACTTTTTGACAATAATTCGAAAAAATACATTCCTCTCGAAAGTAAGGATTATATAAAATATCTTGGCATTCTCATTGATTGTAATTTGTCTTGGAAACAACACATTAATTACATTGCACTAAAGTTTAGCAAAACTGTTGGAATCATTGCAAAACTCCGACATTATGTCCCATGCCATATCTTAATGAACATATATAAGTCATTAATTCAGCCATATCTATCATATGGAGTTGTTGCATGGGGATATGCAGCCAAAAAATATACGGACAAACTTCTCAAACTCCAGAAACGTGTGCTGAGACTTATCTATTTTAAAGACAATCGTGAACACTCTATCCCTCTATTTATCTCTTCAAACACCCTCCCTATCAACATGCTATACATTAGAGAATCTGCTAACTTGTTACATGATATTTCTAATGAAGTTGCACCAATTGCTCTTCAAGAATTATTTACCAAAACATGCGAGATTCATAGATATAATACGAGAGCAGCTGCGAACAAGAATTTTTACATCAATTCTTCACGATTAGAAATCCAAAAACGCTCATTTTCTCGATTTGGTTCTTTTATCTGGAATAGTATTTCTCCAAGTTTCTGTGCGCAAAGGAAACACACCTTCAAAACCAAATTAAACAAAACACTTATGACAATTCTACAGAAGGAAAATGACCATATTGATCTGCCCTTGATAATAAACAGATTGCCTATTGAAACCAAACCATCCTACAATTGATTGTATAATCTCAATTTTTGTGGTTATATAATTATGTGCTCAAATTCATTCCTATATTTAGCACTTTAGCGAGATTTCAATATTACCAATTAATTTTACATAAGTAAATAAATTGGCTTCAGCATGCAGTTCTGCTTGTAACTTTGTAAACCTGCAATTATTTAATTTATTAAGTTTTTTATCTTGTAATTCAGTCATTTCTATTATCCCCCTCTCTTAATTACATTATATCACTACCCGCCCCGATTAGCTTGCATACTTGCGGCTAGTGAAAATTCATGTAAATATATCTGTAACTAAAAATAAATATGTGTATGTGTGTATGTGTATGTGTATCTCACTTTCTGTTGGTTGAATTTTAGCACCAGGGAATAGATTGTTTGATCGATTTCCTGTACAGTCTTTAAAATGTTGAATGGATGTTGCACTATAGAAATTAATGTTACATAATTCTCCTGGCATGACATTTTCTTTGAAATCATCATTCCATAAACAAGCTTCATCAGTGCATGCTCTTCTGTTAAAGCCAGCTCTGACAGCTGCTTCTATTTTAAATAACAATGCCCCAATATGAGTACAAGATTCTCCTAGTCCTGCCATGCAAGTACAATGAGCATTCATTACAGACGTAGTAACTCTGTTTATGGCTCATTCAAACGCTGAGATGGGTTAACATTTGCTTTCATAATAACAAACTTTGTCGCAGGGATGTCATAATGAAAAATTGTACGTACCCATCCACTTCTAAATTGATTATGGGCTTCTAAACTTTTGCGATTATTCATTGCTTCTTTGGTGAATACGCCAGGAGTTTCTATAAGGTATGAGTATACTTCAGGATATTCAAGAGCTGGCCATTTTGTTGGATCATTCGCCCAAACATCACCAGGCAACATATAGGGACACTTTATCATTCCAATCATCTCCAGTTTACCTTTATAACGTTTTTTCACTTCAGCATTGAGTTTATCCACGTTATATGATGCCATAATGTGCGTGCGAAAGTATCAAATATCTAGGCAATAATTAGCATTGTCGCGTTTGTTTTCACTGCAGAATTTCGCGCATGCGTATCTGAACCCTTATGACGTAGACTCGTATCACAGAATATATAATTATTAATCAATTACGTAATGCATAAGAGCACAACTTAACATCTGTATCATTAGTTTGATCGCACTTGCCTATCTTAGGAAATAATACAACTATACAATGCCTCACCCATGCACAGGCAGGCAACCATAACATTGGGCTGCCTATGAGAAAATATAATTTACGAAATAACTCATTCTTCCTATAGGAATTTCTATATTTCTTACAGAAATTACTCAGATTAACATCACAAACATCATTTTAAAATCCTATAGGAATTCTTATAGGAATTTTAATTCCTTATATAATTACACTATTTCTATATCACATTTTATTCATAGACATTTATTAATAAGAGAATTTAATATTGGACTGGTATTAACTTTTAATATTTATATTATTTGAATTGTAACTAGGGCCCACATGCCTGTCAAAATGCATGCAAAAACGCCAGTATGCTTCAGTTTCTTTACTTTTCATCTCGTTTGTACTAAATATCCCATGAACATAGAACATATTCTTACAAATTGTATGCTTTTTTGTTTTTGGAACTGCTACTTTTTGGTGGGTAAATTACTTCACAAACCTGGTGCAAAAAAATTAAAATAAGCTATAGCACAATAAGGATATCTTAAAACTGAAATTGGTTTCGAATACAACCATCAGGAACGTAGCGAAGCGTCTGACGTTTGGGGGGGGGGGGTGTTGGAGGATTATATGTGTAATAATTATAATAAAGCTTTTTGTGATTGATTGGCACTCTCATACTAAGTTTTGAGAGAAAAGGGGGGTCTGGGGGTCCTCTCCCAGAAAATGTTTACATTTTTGAAGCTCTAGTACTGAATTTCTGTCGTTTTCTAAAGAATATTCGCAAACGAATTGCATGTAAATGGACTGTATTTTACAAAAATGGTTATTGAGTAACCCTCTCAGTAACCTGAAGTTCAGGCCCTAATTTTAAATAGGGCCTGACAAAAAACCTGTCTAAACTGTGGGATTCCTGTCCATCTGGTGGACAAGAAATCTGATTGGTTGATCAACATCATGAAAGATTTAGTCTCCTGCACAGATGTTGTTAGTGGCTGAGGCTTGGCCACTAACTACGTCTGCGCAGGAGGCTAGAAAGATTTTGATTGGTTGCAAGTTCACATAAACAATAGTTTTAAAAATAGCTTGGTCAAGGCGACAATTAACCTCAAATGCATGTATCAAATTGCATTCGAATTTCCTTTTTATGTTTTATGGCAGAAAATAAATCAAACAAACAGTATTTTGAAAGGGCTTTATCAAATCTTTGACGAAGTTTGGACACACAACGCTGAAAGAGAACAGCAAAACTAGTCATGTATTCCAAAGCTTGTTGTTGACAGTCAAGATGTCTTTGCTCTTCTGCCAACTGGCTTCGTCAAAATCTTATTTATCAGGCCCTACCAGCATTGTTTTCTGAGCTACATCTCCTTCTTTGTGATATGATTGAGAATTTCGTTGTTGCTGTTGTTAGCCTGTTACAGTATATCTGTGTCCAGCAAGTTGAGACCAAGCTTGGCATTCAAGCAGTGCACAGAACTGACTAATTAAATCTTCGTTTGCTGTTCGGTTAAATAGAGAAACTGAACTCTTAATTATATAAAAGTACCTTGAATTTTTAAATTTAATTAAAAGCAAAATGCACACTGTGCGGACGGACATGTTCATCAGAATGTAAATCTACTTGCAATGAAATCTACAAGTACAACACTTGTCAATCATATTGCATAACTGTGTCTAAAAATAACATGTGGTACAGTCTAGACAGGTTTTGTGTCAGGCCCTATTTAAAATTAGGGCCTGAATTTCAGGTTAGAACTTTCAGAGCCCCCCCTTGATGCCAGAAAATATTTTGGTGCCCCCCCCCCCTTAACATCTTCATCCCCTCCCTTCAGCATAATAAATGTACTTTCCCTTAACTTCTGTTACCAATATTTGGTATCTTGCTTAGTTCTTGAAATATTTTGTAAAAAATTATTTTATAAGTTCATTAATAATTCATGAGAAAAATACAAAAGAAATGAATGTTTAATCAATGTTTGTAAATCGGATAAAGATTTTTCCTGTATGTTTATGTAAACTTCAGCTTTGATTTTCTCGGCTTAGACAATGTTTATTTTTAAAATTACTTTGCCAATGAACTCATAAGGTGGGTCATTTTTTAAGTCAAGGCATTTTTTAATACCATGGACTGGCAGGGCATTTGCCCCACTGGGCCCCTTCCTCTGCCCCATCACGGAAGAAAAAAATCGCCTATTCCCCCAACTTCTGTTGTGTTTGAATGTTTAGCATGCATTTTATTACAAATTTCACCATTAAAACTTTGTTTTGAGAAGCTGAGATTTTTTTTTAAATGTGCTCTCAGAATGCTGAAAATTCTATTTCAGAGACCCAAATTTTAAAAATCAGATACAGATTGGCTGCTCATGTTTTATCTAGTACTTAAAGTAATGAGATGTCTGCCATCTTGATAATTTTTTTTGTCTTATTAATGGTAGTTTTGGTGATGTCACAATGGATTAACCATATAAAAGTATTCTTTGGTGACCAAATATTGATTGGTAGATGTTTTAAAGGTTTTTGAGTGATCTTGATATTTCAAAAGGCATATATACCGAGTATAATTTTAAGTGCAAAATGACTAGTGGTTGTCTAGATAAAAATATTGTGTGACCCCTGTTGTGACGTAACATGCATATAAAAAAGACGGCGGGCATTGCATTCCTTTCGATCAAAAATACTTGTAGAAGTAAGCACAATACGAAAAAGAGTTTTATATATAGTTTTAAAAATGAGAAAATAAAAAAATATATTTCCTTTTAAATTAAGGAAAATACTTTTAACCTAACTTTCTATTGTATAAATTGCTTTCCTGGTTACTAATGAATTCATATTAACATATTTCTGTGTGTCTCTGAATCTGTATACACCTTTTCCAGATTATGGAATATACAAAAAAAAGCATTTTGTTCAACAGTTGACCAGGAAATATACATTTGTATCCTTTTTGAGATGGGAAAACTTAAATTTATAAATATAATCTGTAAAATGTATATAAATATGATCTGAGATTTGCACCTAATATCCTAATGGGATCCAACTTAATGAACAAAGATTGAAAATGTTCAGAGCTGTACATTAATAAATAATATAACTAAACATAAAATACTATGGCTATTATAATACCTGCAAATTAAATTGAATATGGGTAATGGAAGCATGTAATCACACCAGCCAGCACCATCACGGACTGAAAAAAGTTCACATTGATTACAGGCAATGACCTATCCAAGAAATCTGTACAACTGAAAGGTTGAATTATGTGAGCAATGTTAACTTTGAATTCATTCGTCTTAAAATCTTCACTAGATCGCGATATGCAGTTTGAATAATCTGCCAACCAAACCTGTTCAAATTGCATGGTCAGCAATAATTTCTCCTTTGGCATTCATCTGAAATTAAAGTGCTACTGCAGCGAATTTTCTTGCGTTGAGTAGAAGTTGACTAATTTTGCTTCCAAACCTCGTCATAAGATGAACAGAAGTCGCAAAGCTAATAGCCTGCTAATAGTAATTTCTATAGCACGTTAGGTATTTGCAGTGATTTCTCATAGTATTTTGAGGCTAAAAAATTATTCTTTTCCCAAAGAGTTTAAGTTATATATTTTACAAACTACATAGTGAGGGTATGTCAAGTAACAAGTCCGATAGCGTAAATTCGTCAGAAAGCTCGAGTAAGATTGACCAGTGTTGTGAATACTCGTTACAATTGTAACGCGTCACAGGATACTCGTTACGTTTGCAGTAATTTTGACCTGTAATTAATTACATTTTTGAAAAGGAACGAATTATTGTAATTAATTACAAAATAAAGGAACGCGTTCCTTTTGTTTTAACGAATGAAAATTACAAATTCCTTTGATCAAATAATTTGGAAACGCTAAGCGCTTTGTTTTCCATTTTTGTTAAATCTGGAAAATTTTCAATAACTGATTCAAAGTTGTTCAAGTGGAAGTTGTTCAATTGAACTCTAATACTTCATGTAGTGTATTGATATAGTGAAAAACATTGCCGCCATGCTTGAACGATTGCGAAATGCTAATATGAACGATTGAACGTCGAATGCTAATATGGTAGACCATGTTGTAGACAACAACTTTGTCGATTTTATTAGGGATGAGCCGATAAGGAAAATTGCCGATTACTGAGGCCGATTATTTATAAGCCAATTATCGTAACTAATTGGCCGATTAATCGGTACCCGCCGATTATTTTAAAAAGCAAGCGAAACATCACAAAATGACCAATAATGAAGTTGTAAATGCGGTTAAAATTATTGTTTACAGGACACACTATGTACAATTAAAAACAGCTTCAATCTTGCATGTCAATAGTCAAAGTTTAGTTTTGGCAGATTATGGTGTGAAAACAAGATATTGTCAGCTATGTGGAGCTAGTCTGCTGCGTTTTTCAGTGGAAATGTTCCCAGCTTCACTTCAGTTGAGACAAAAGACACAGGTTTTGCAACAAAATGTGTAAATATATTTGCTTGTATTCAGTATTCTAGCATGTGCTCGGCAGCTGCAGAAAAAGTCTTATGGCCGATTATCAGGCAATAATCGGCTTTGCCGATTATTTACTGATTAATTGGCTCATCCCTAAATTTTATAGAGAATATAGAGCCAGCCGGGCCCAGTGAACCAGAGTCAACTGTAAGTGGAGAAGAATCAGAAGACCTTCAAGACCAAGAAGGCAGTCAATCTGCCGCTGTGCAGGATTTCAACGCGGGAAAAGAGGAATCTCCATGGCCCAAGTTGAATAAATTTTTTCATGTTTGTTGTAAGCGCAACAACAACCTCTCATTCGAGTGCCTTCTGTGTAAACCGAAGAAAACCATGCTTTCCACATATATTACATCACACTCCAACCTTTTTCCAAGTTATAAAATAATTAAGACCAATATTTCAATATTTAGTTAATGTAGTTATCTACTTGTATGTATTATTTATAGTAGTCTACTAGTCTGAGACTCACAGTACTGTGTACTGACTACTGAGAGATTTTTTTACCAAATTATACACAAATAATCGTAATTAAATATTCCTCAATCAGTTAATCCCTAACAACATCAATATTCATCCAATTATTTATTTTCGTGTTGTTTACAATTTTGTATATACTTTCAGGGTGTTAGCTACAATAAAAAATTCCATGTTAAACATGGTTTTCCCAATTACCTTGAGGTCGCAATTTCCCAATTTGGGTCAGCCAAAAAATAGTTATTGAAATTCAATGTTGTTAACACGCCATTAGGCATTGACAACATGTTTAATAAAACTACATTTGCTCAAAATTACTCCCAAAATGCGAAAAATGCCATTTCATAGACAAATATTTTTAAAATCGATAGGGGCAACCGCATGCCCCCAGACCCACAAAGAAATGCCCAGCTTCAGGCTAAAATAAATTTCCCAATTTCAGGTAAACACGGATTTTTTTTACTTCTGGCTAACACCCTGACTTCTCTTTGGTTAATAGCGAGTGCACCCAGACAAGTTGTATGAGTTTAATGAGCTAACTACCACTCGAGCATTGAAGAAATCTGTTGATGCCAATACAGACCAACCTCATGGTTACAATAAACAACCAAAGCAACTTAAGCAAGGCACTCTTTCCTGGTCGAAAGGTAGTGTGAAACGCCCTCTGCTTTCCAAGGAAAACCTTGGTAGACTTACATTAAATATGGTTATTGAATCCTTGCTTCCCATGTCATTTGTCGAACAACCATCATTCAAAGAACTGATAACCATCAACAAGGGCTTAGAAAAGGGGCAAGAGGCTTCAATGGCTGTTGTCAAGGATGCAATGGCAAAGGTTGAGTGGATCGCCACCACAATTGATTGTTGGTCTGCACACCGCCGATCCTATCTGGGTGTAACAGCTCATTGGCTTTCAGCTGATTCTTTTAACAGAGAAAGTTCAGCTTTAGCTTGTCAAAGAATTATGGGAAGTCATACATATGACCGCATTGCTGCACACCTTAAAACCGTACACAGCGATTATGGTATCAACAGCAAAGTGGTCAAAACTACCAGCGACAATGGCTCCAATTTTATAAAGGCATTTGCTGTCTTTGCCCCATCAGAAGATAAACTTGATGTCTCTGTTACTGACATGAATGACATTTTCTCTGATCAAGATGAAAGTTTGGAACTTCCTTCTCATCAAAAGTGTGCAGCAGCTTATTCACTTAACCTTGTTTCAACAACAACTGCTGCTGCTGCTGCTGCTGCAGAAAAAGATTATCAGTACAAAAAGCTCAGTCGTGCTAGTTTTGCCAAATGTCAAGCACTTTGGGATAACACTGGAAGAGCAGTACAAGCGAAAGAGATTATTGATGAAGAAAGCCTTTTGCAAATCAAACGACCTTGCTCAACACGATGGAATTCAGTTTTTGATGCTGTTCAGCGATTGAATAAAATTAACAAGGTGGGTGTAGCAGGACCTCAAACTTTAAACAACATATGTCAAAGACTTGACTTGCCTCGGTAAGTACCGTACTATAAATTAATAATTAATATAATATAATTATATTTTAATATTTATAGTCACTAGTCAGTAATTTAAAATCTAGCTACAGTATTTTATCTCTGCACTCTGTCACTCACCTCTTTTTATTCTATTCCCTCACCACATTAACTAGGCTCAAAGATACTGAACTAGAGTTCCTCAACTTGTATGAAGCTGTTATGAGACCTATTGCAACTGCACTCGATGTATTACAAGGTGAGAAAGATACTTATACGGGAACCTTGCTTCACACAATAGTTTTCTTATTAGAATGTCTGATGAAAGAAAGAAGAAAACAACAGGAAAACAATCTCTTCCATTCTCATTCCCAAGTTTAAGGACCACTGGACTGACGACAATTCCCAGTTAAAGAAAGGTTTGTGATGTAATTCCTATATTAGTTTGGTTAATGGTTATATGGTTGTCTATAGATTGCAGGAGTGTTTAATTCAGAATTATTATAATTTAAATAAGATTAATTACCATTAATAATTCAATAATTAATAAATATAGTTGCTAATGAAATATATTTTACATTGATTTGTTTCAAGGGCTGGAGTGCATTCGGAACCGTTTAGCTGCTGACAATGTGGTAGAGAGCGAGGAAACGGAAGCAAAGGAAGATGAAGTATCTGCAAACAAATTTTTCAAGGCAAAGAAGAAGAGTTCAAAAGATGTGCTTGAGCTATACTTGTCATCTGACAACGATGATTTTGATATTTTCAAAGAACTATGTGCTTCCCTAAGAAAATTGGCTTTGGAACTGAATACTCCACTTCCAGCCCGTGCAGCATGCGAGCGTCTTTTTAGCACTGGAGGTCTGATACTGAGGCCCCACCGAAGCGTCTTGGTGACAAACATTTTGAAGCATGCCTCCTCTCAAAGCTTAACTTTAAGTTTTTGAAATAGATTTAAAACATTATAATTGAGGGTGTATAACCGTTGAGTTGTTTAATCGTTTTTCTTCACTTTGCGAACACTGAACATTACAAAACATGATGTGTAGTTTGTAATTAATTACATTTTTAAATGGTAATTTTGTTACTGTAATTAATTACTTTCCTGAAGAAGTAATTGTGATCAGTAATTAATTACATTTTAAAGACAGTAATTTTATTTGTAATTAATTCCTTTTTGGACCGTAATTTTACAGCACTGAGATTGACACAAGGTCTGATGGCGATACAAGTACTTCGGAATCAGAATATCGTGTGGCAACACATAATTTTGCCTATGATGATGAACCTCTGGCAGAACTAGGCCAAGATGTAGATATTATCCCTTACGACGAAGATGGAATACCACCATCAGTACTGGAAGAGAGAAGCGACAGCAGAATACCTCTAAATCAGTAGTAAGTACATATTTGGGTAGAACCATTTTGCCTTGTTGACATTTGAGTGATTTGATTGCATGCATGCGCATTCCTGTTCTCAATTGTGATTCAGTAATGCATATCGCATAATAACGAGCCACTTAGGAGCTTGTTCAAAACCTTTGTGTGGTGAACAAGGCAATGGGTTTATGGATATTCCTAGTCCACATATTTATATTTGTGAATCGATATAGTCTTTCTAGACTTTCCACTAGTTCTACCAATGGCATTGACAGAACATTGTCTTTGATCAAACTTTATATATAGGTTGAATGTTTAATGTAAAGTCACTGTGTGTCAGTAGTTTACTATTTTACAATATCTGTATGACTTGTATAATATATTACAGCTGGAAAACATATACAAGTTTAACTAAGTTTGATAGGTGCAGTTGCCAGTGTTGCCAGACAGAGTTGCTGGAGGCAGTTGTGGAATATCGGTGTTGTAAAGAAATGACACCAGCCTTACATATGACATTCGATGGAAGCATTGAACGAATTAGCTGCATCACAGAACATGAGGATTTCGGGCCAATGACACACAGGGCTGTGCTTGAAAATGTAGGACCACTACTCAAAGACAGAAATGGTCATTCCTATCAAAGACGTACATCACAATCTTTGAACACGCCTGGCAAAAAGTAATCCAAAATCGCCAGAGGTGTTATTAATTTTTTAATTTTCATCCTGATTGTACGAAATTTTCCATAAGCATAGAACATATTCTTACAAATCGTGTAGTTTTTGTTTTTGGATTTTTTATTTTTTGGCGGGAAAGTGACGTCACAAACTTGGCGCCAAACATTTAAAAATTAGCAATGACTAATATTATTTATTTATTTGGAAGACCATGCTGTAGCAATCTTGAAACTGAAGTCTGTTTCGAAATACGGCCATTCGCTGCAAAGATAGACTGGTTCAAAGTTCGAAAAATCCGCCATTTTGTTCTATTTTTAGTAACAAGATGGCGGATTTTTCCCACTTGTACCCAGGCTCTTTCCTCTGGTTATATTGGGTACTGATACTTTATCATTATAAAAATTAAATTATTAAATTAATATTGATATTAAACTCTTTATGAATTCGAATGTGCTGCCAGTAGCTTTGCACATCTTTTATTTATTCATTTTTTTATTTGCTAATTCACCCAAATTACATAATATAAATAAAAAATAAAAGTATTTACAATAGTAGGGCTATGAACCTTCTAGAAACCATAAGGCTTTTTAATTAAGTTCCCTAGTTACAATTTTAAATTAAATTAATATTATAATAGATTACCAGTTCAAATATTTTTAGATAAAGTAAGGTGATATATGTACAGCATATATATGTAGAAATAAGGAAACTTTAAGATAGGATATTAGGTTATATTACAACAATTTAATTCTGTCGAGAATTCTATTTGTTTGATTAAGAATGAAGAAAATACTTTTTCATTGCCGTTTTGAATATTGGAAAAGATCTAATTTCTTTATATTGCAAAGGAAGATTATTCCACACATCAATTCCTTTGTTAGCGAGCGTGTTATAATTTGTGCTATTATACTTTTTGTGAAGCGAAGATGCGTTTCTTGTGTTATAATTATGGATATCTTTGTTGGTCATAAAATAATTGGTAAAAATTTCTGGAAGATTATGCAGATGAAAATATCGGAACATAAATGAACTTGTTAAGTATTCATTTAATTTTTCATTAAAAATTGGTTCAGTATGGTCAGAATATGATTTGAAAGTCATTAATTTTACTATCTTTTTTTGAATATTTACTAATTTTTGAATGTAAGATTTGTAGGCATTACCCCAAATCAGGTTGCCATAAGTAAGATATAGATAGACTATTATGCAAAATAGATCAGTTTTAGGGAATTTAGGTTTGTAAAATGTTGAATCCTGGAAATAATAGCTGCACATTTGATGATTTTCTTGAAGATCCGATCTATGTGATCATGCCATGTTAAAAATTCGTCAATAACAATTCCTAAAAAAGTAATGTTTTTTACTTGTTTTATATTTTCTTTATTTATTGAAATCTTTAAATCGTGTTTAGATTTTTTATTTCTTGATCTAAAGAGAATGAGCTTGGTTTCCGTAGTATTTAGAGATAATATATTAATGTTCAACCAATTTGCAATTTTATTCATTTCAATTTGAAGAATTTCATTTAAAGTTTTAAGGCAAGTATTGCTGTACAGTATATTTGTGCAGCAGGTAGAAAATGCAGGTTGCAGGTTGGAATTTTGCAGGTTGCGAATTTTGCAGGTTGGAATTTTGCAGGTTGGGGATTTTGCAGGTTGGAACTTTGCAGGTTGATAATGCAAACTTAAAATTACACCACTTTTTTAGTATTCTAGTATAGTTCAGTCTGACTCCTTGTCGGCGCCACAATATTTTTTCTGTAGACAGTCAGACTCCTTATTGATAGTCGGATGCATTATTGACCCGCGCCCTTAAACAAAATATTCAGCTGATACTCTTTTTAGATGCGGCTTCCCTGTGTGTCTTGCGCACGTATTTGGTGATTTCAAAATCAATATTGCTTGGTTGAAATGTCAAAATCTGTACAGGACACATTGTGGCTTCACATCTTGTGTGGTGAAGACATCTGACATATTTCATTAAGTTATATTCGCCATTCCCACTTGCTTTTCTTTGCTTTTGTAACTGTTTTTTGTAACTCTTTTCAGAGCGATTGCAGAATACCCATCCACATTTTAAGCCATGCCCTTCAAACATCATGGATATGATGTATTAATACATCTATATTTATTCTCAATAGATTAATAATTAGATTGACAGATTAAACTGAATCCCATGGTGGTAAAGGTAGCTAAGAGGCATACAGTGACTTATCATTAATAGCAGCTTAAATTGTCATGATAGTGTTGAAGATAACTCTATATTATAGTGGATACACGGATGTGCAGTCAAATTTGAGAACGAGGCATGCAGTTAGATTAGCATTAGATCAAATTTTCATGCTACAGGTAGCTCTATATTTTAGTGGATACGCGGATACGCAGTCAAGTAGTTGTTTTGAGATTAAGGCGACAGTTAGTTAGCATTAATACTTATAATAGATTAAATTCTCATGCTATAGAGAACTTAAATGTGGTGTAATATGTAAATATGTTCCTCACAACCGGACATTGGTGTTTGACAGATTGATTAATTAGTGTGGCTGGGAGAAAAATGTTTTATATTATAAAGCATACTAAGTGGACTTAATGGTCGCTTTGAATCTTCCAGTATTTCCTTGCACACTAGTTATCCTGATTCTCTTCAATTGACCACTTGCGTAATAGACAAAATTTTGATCTCAACAAGTCAAGACAAAACTTTCATCACAGCTTGGAAGAGCATCACAAAATTAGTAATATTCCAAAGTTTTGTTGCAAAATGTTGTAAAATGCGGATAATATAGCCTTGCAAAATTTGTAATTTTCAGTCATTTTAGATTAAAAACGGGAAATTGACAGCCTCAAAGCGTATCGGGCTGTCAATTTCCATTTGTAATCTAAAATGACTGAAAATTGCAAACTTCGCAAGGCTATGTTATCCGCATTCTGCAACATTTCACAACAAAACTTTGGAATATTACTAATTTTGCGATGCTCTTTCAAGCTGTGATGAAATTTTTGTCTAGATCAAAATTTAGTCTATTACGCAAATGGTCAATTGGGATGATATATAGTTTTAACTCGTAATAACAGTTCTGGAGTATTTTCGGAACCAGAAAAACAACTTTGTAGATTTACTATGGCATCGCAAAGCAAATCGTTAATCTTTCTACACGTGGTTTGAAGAAGAAGAACGTGGAGTGATGGATATATGGTGCACCAGTGGGTTACAAAGGGATCCATTGATAACGCGCGGAGGCCTGGACGCTAGTCAATGATGCGTCCAACTGTCAATGAGGAGTCAGACTGTCTACGGAAAAAAAATTTGTGTCAGTGCCTCTGCTCTAAGGCTAGTGGTCATCACCCCTGTGCATGAAACTTCAAAATGACCAGATTGGCTTGGACCTACAGGGAGACGAATGTTTTGATTGTTGCGAGGTGCCTACATGATGTGGCGGCGTTTATACGTACTAGAATGCTGTCAAAAGTTAACTAACTCTCGAGTAATGATACGGTAATTGGGGGCTTGAGTGGTCTCATAAGTGGGTGCAGAGGAGAGACACCTCATTCAGGCATTTTCTGAACTGCCACCACGTCATGTAGGCTCCTCGCAACAATTGAAACATTCGTCCCCCTGAAGGTCCAAGCCAATCTGGTCATTTTGAATGTTTTCACAAGGGTGATGGCCACTCCTTAGAGCAGAGGCTAGAAACATGGTAGCAGGATAGACTGATATCAAAAGTGCCAACAAGGAGTCAGACTGCAATAAGTACACAATTAAATTATACTAGAATTCTTCATAGTAGTGTAATTTTCAGTTTGCATCATCAACCTGCAAAATTCCTGGCAACCTGCAAAATTCCAACCTGCAAAATCCCCAACCTGCAAAATTTGCAACCTGCAAAATTCCAACCTGCAACCTGCGTTTTGTACCTGCCCATATTTGTGTCATCGGCAAATAATATAATTGAAACCAATTCACTGCAATACTGAATATCATTTACATATAAAAGAAACAATATAGGACCCAATACTGATCTCTGCAGGACACCGCTTGTGATAGTCATTTCTTCTGATTCAATGCCGTTATATTTTACCAACTGTTTTCTATTATACAGATAATTTTTGAACCATTTTTTGGCTACTCCTTGTATTCCGTAATGTTCCAATTTCCGTATCAGAATCTTGCGAGTAATTGTGTCAATTAAATGCCTTTGAGAGGTCAAGGAAAATACCAACAGAGAATTTCCCTTGATCAATCGCTGTAGTGATTTTATCAACAAAGTCAATTATAGCATGTTCTGTTGATCTGTTTTGTCTGAAGCCATACTGATATTTTGATAATATATTGTTTTTATCAATAAATTGTGTTAGTCTTTTGACCACAAGTTTTTCTAGCAATTTGGAAAAACAAGTTAGAACTGATATTGGTTGGTAATTTTCAAACTTGTTATCTTCATTACTTTTAAAAATTGGCGTAATTAATGTGACTTTTAAATTGTCTGGAATAATACCAGACAAGAATTATAAATTAAAAATATGTGTCAAAGACTTAGAAATTTCCTTGGCAATTATTTTATAATAATTTTAGCATTAATGCCATCATATCTAGAACTTTTGTGTTCGACCTCATATTTTCAAGTTCAGTTTCAAGTTCATTTTCTGTGATAGCATTAAGGAAGAGACTAGACTGATAACTACCATTCAGATATTTCACAAAGGTATCATTATCATTCCATTTTTTTTTTGCTAGGTTAGGACCAATGTTAATGAAGTAGTCATTGAATTTGTTTGCTATTTCTTCCGGATCTTCTATAATATTTGATGAATTACTTTCCACAAACGTTTTCGTTAGTTTACTATTTTTAGTTGGTCTATTAAGTAGTTCATTCAATGTTTTCCACATCATTTTTGAATTTTGCTTAACTGTTCTTCGTAATAGATTTTCTTAGCTATTTTTACCTCCGCCAGGAGGTTATGTAATCAACTGGGTTTGTATGTGTGTATGTGTGTGTGTGTTTATGTATATTGCATTTCCCATCGGCTAAGGAAGAACTGATTAAAATTTGGTTGAATTTGGTTAAAAATTGAACAAGAAATGAACAAAATTTTGTCTTGCTTTTCCCGGTCAATTAAAAAAAAATTACTGAATGCGTAATTAGGACGTGTATAATGTATGCACACAGTACTAAGACAATGAGATGATAAATCTCATTAAGCTTCAGCCTTCATTATCTATTGTCTTAGTTGCATTTCACACGACCGAAATTCAATGTGGGTGGAGGTATGCAGTCTCTGAGTGCCCTCTAGTTATAATATGGTTTACTTTATTTTTATATTTTACATATTTTTGCCTGTTTCTATTACTTGGGTTTATAAGGAAGGTTTTGTATAATTCATTTTTATTTTTAACAGATTTTAATATGCACCTAGACATCCACAGGCTTTTATTCTTATTTATTTTTTATTTGGTTTGTTTTCTTTTAAGTGGAAACTGTGCGTCATATGCATCCATAAATAATCTCAGAAACTCATTAAATGCTTTTTCAGGGTCATTTGTTTCATTTAATACCTCCTTCCAAGAAAGATTTTTAACTGCATTTTTGAATGCGCTGATATTAGTTTCACTATATATACTCTTTGATAGGTTACTGTAGCTTCATTTGCGTTTCTGTTTTTACCAAAAATATTTGTGTTAAACACATGTACAATTGGTAAGTGGTCTGAAATATCACTAAAAACAATACCATTTATACTATCATTAAGTTTTTCTAGATTAATATTGGTGAAAATATTATCAATTAGTGTTTCAGTGTTTTCAATATTTTACATCCTGCAATGTCAATTGATGTTTCCAGAGATGATGTTATATAGGTTAGGATTACCATGTTATTATACTTATCTTCATAGTAAATATACATTTATTATATAAACATAAATGTTATATAGAGTTTTTGGCCACTGAGAAAAATCGTATTTAAACACACGTAAAAAATACGATATTTTTACGTGTGAAAATATCATTTGTTGTAAAACGCATTGCCAGGACGTTTTATTGTTTTTCACTGAATTTTGTTTATATAATAAACAGAAAAATACATGGGTGCTTGGAAATACCAGATTTATTTCTCGTGTTGAACATGATATCTCACTCGTTCGCTGCGCTCACTCGTGAGATATCATGTTCAACACTCGAAATAAATCTGGTATTCCCGCGCAACCATGTATTATTCTCTATGTACTAACTTACATTACAAATTAACTTTATAATACTTAATATCTATAATATAATTACAGTATGGTTATTTATATAACTAGAAAATACATGCATGCAGAAACCCTCGTCTTGCTGACAAAACCATTGTATTTTCCAAACACGAAGTATCTAAAGTAGTTGTCATGGTAACACGATAATTTTTTAAGAATATTCTTACAAATGAAAAATTGCCTAAAAATATCACTTTTAATTACAAAATTATCAATTTCCCAACATATATATGTTAGATATGTTATTATACGTAAGATAAGCTTCAATTTAAGGTAAAATTCAACCACAAACGCTTCGCAAAACGTTTTAAAGTGTTCTTTATAAAACTAAACTGCCTTTAATTAAATGGCTTTATCGATAAACTTTGAGTTTGCAATAAAATGATTTCAAATTCTTGCATGCAAATAACTTTGCTTTCTTTTTATTTAAAAAATTCAATATAATAGCAAAAGGAATCAATATTTAATAAAGATAAACTGAAATTATATGCTGTCTTGTTTAGTTGTTTCATATACGCAAAGGCCGTCGGGTTTTAAACTTAAAGCCATTATAAAATCAATATTTAAAACAAACTTACCTTCGTTAACGTCGGCTCCCTTCTTTTAGCCGATTCTTTCGCCCTTTCTTTCTGAGAAAGGTTTTGAAATTTACAAAATCTTCCAAAAATGCAAGCAAAAATGAAATATATTTGCAAGAAATTTATCAATCATGAAATCAAGAAATGTTTGCTATTTCGCTGTCATCATGCAGTCATTATAATGCAAACTTTAAATTGGACCGATCAGTGTTCGCCATAGATATCTTACATACACTAGATAGCGCATCTCTTTTAGTAAAATTGAAGCTAAGAATACTCCAGCGGTTACCCCCATTTGAATAGATGGCGGCCATGTTGGTCGTTCCCACTTGCTAATAAACGCTTAAAAACAACAATAACTTTCATCATTTGAATAGTTTAAAAATGTATTTGGAATAGGGTTAACTTAATGTTTAAGTTCCCTGTTTAAGAAATAGAAAACATACGAATCTTCTCATTTCATGGGAACGACCTGAGACTGCAATCACGGCTTCAATTTTTGAATTGCAGAATAATTAGATGCACTATCTAGTGTATATAAGATATCTATGGTGTTCGCTATTCATGAGAGTCTGCCATATTTTTTAGATCAGTGAGGATGACCACCCACTGAAACATCGTTGGTGAGCCACGCCCGCGATATTTGATGAACTTTAGACTTCGCTAATGCTTTCGTTTCCCCGGGTGTAAATAGCCGGGGGGAATTAGTACCCTCGCATGGCGCTTCGCGCCGTCGGCTCAGGATTATCGTATTATTATATTATTATAATTGTAATTTTCCATCTTTGTTTCATCGAGTTGATCCTCAAAAATAAGAAAAAATGGAAAAGGTTAATCAACAAATAAAAATCACAAAAACCTACAGTATACCATGAGTATGACACTAAAAATGAAAATAATATAATAAAATTATTACATCACCTTGATTGTTGGCCATATGATACCAATGGGACACACTGTCAGAAAATCACATCACAGCTAAACAACAAATCTAAAAACAATTGTATACAGCTATATGCAAATAATTTTAGGTGAAGTTTTTAGATGCATTTTAGACGTCGTTTTGTTTTTGTCTGAAAGAAATCTTCCATTTCGTGGCTAGATGAGCCAAACAATGGACTTTTCCTCGGGAATTTGGAGTTACTTAGTGGTCATCATCATGTGCTTAAAATGCACCTTAATGAAGTCAAAAAACACCAAGAGACTGAAACTCGAATGCAAGCACACTATCTGTCATGGCGCTCACAGAATGAGTTCTTGAAGAGTGTGCAACGATTGTAATTAACGCCATTATTGATGAAGTAAAGAGAGCACTTTACTACAGTATTATCGTAGATGGTACACCAAATACATCACATACTGAACAGATTACATTTATTCTAAGATATGCACATCTAAATGAGAAAAATCTCTGGGAAGTCTGTGAACGATTTTTAGAGATGAAAGACTGTGAGAAGAAGAAAGGGTGTGATATTGCAGAGCTGATATGTAAAGTGCTTAAAAACCACGATATTCAGCTAAAGAATTGTAGAGGTCAAGGATATGACAATGGATCAAATATGTCAGGTTGTTACCAAGGAGCTCAAGCATTAATCCGGGAAAAGAATCCCCAGGCTGTTTTCTCTCCTTGCAGTGCACACACGCTTAATCTTTGTGGAGTTCATGCTGCTGAGTCTAATAATGTTGTGAAAAAGTTTTTTGGGAATATTCAAAAACTGTACAAATTGTTTAGTTTCAGTCCATCTTGCTGGAAAATTTTGCAAGAAATTGCTCATATTTCACTGCATAAATTGTCGGTTACACGTTGGAGTGCTAGAATTGAGGCTGTAAAGCTGCTACCAAAGAGGCCCAGAGAAATTTTAGAAGCTTTAGACAGCCTGAAGGAACATGATTTGCCTCCTGATTTGTGTAATGATGTGGACACTCTCAGCGAATGGTTAAGCTCGTTTGAATATACTTTACTGGTTAGTTTTTGGTTTAAAGTGTTGCAAGCCATTAATGATGTTAGTTTGTTGCTTCAAGGTTCTGGAATTACAATTGACGAAGAATTGCGTCTAATTAAATCTCTTCAAGATGATTTAAAGCGCATACGTGAAGGTTGGAATGTTATCCTTCAGGAATCAAAGCTTGTTGCTGGTGCTTTGGGCCTTACTGAACAGTTTCAGGAAAAACGACGACGAATTCGCAAGGCATTTTTTGACGAAAACCGGGATAACGAATGGGAAGTACAAAACAACGAAGCGCTGTTCAGAATAAACGTCTTTAATGTGACTTTAGATACAGTAATTAGTGAAGTGACGTGCAGATTTGAAACAAGTGAACAATTGAACAACATGTTTTCCTTCCTTTGGGGCCCTTCCAGTATAACAGGGCAAGAGGACACAGAGAATTCAGACCAATCACTATCAGAGGACGTTGAAAACACTTGCAAAGCCAAAAACTATTGTTGTAATCTCTCAAAATTCTATCCGAATGATTTAAATGAAGACCAACTCATGGAAGAACTTCGTCTACTCAATAAACTGAAGCAAAATGACAATTTGTTTGGTAAATTGTCATCTCTTCAGTTGCAAGATTTACGAGAAAGGACTTCAAAGCATATTTCCACAGATTTGTGTTGCCCTAAGGATTTTTGTAAGCATACCAGTGTCAGCCGCTTCTGGAGAACGGTCTTTTAGTAAACTAGCAATCGTAAAGAATTGTCGTTGATCTACAATGGGGCAAGAACGTCTTACTGGACTAATTACGCTTTCTTCAGAGCGTGATATAGCCAGAAAGATCAACTATGACACTGTAATTGAAGCATTTGCTTCGAGGTGTGCACGAAAAGCAAGAATATGAATTACATCAGTACATAAGCCTCCAGTGATGCGGTACTGTATAAAATTACCTTATCATTAAGCATAAAGAATGAAATATTATACTTGATATGCTGTTTTGTGTGTGTGGTGTGTGTGGTGTGGGAGGGGGGGGGGGGGGGTGGGGCCCCC